AAGATTCTCTGTGCCTCATTATACCCAGATGTTCGATGGGGAAACTAACATTTACCTTGCAGTTCTATAAAAATTACAAATTAACAATGACTGACACGAAGTAGCAGGAAAAGCAGGTAGAATAATAGTTAATAATTAATGTTTACTCAGTGCTTAGTGTGAGCCCAGCACTGATCTAAGTACTTTACACGTAGTACTTTTAAGCCTCACAACAATCTTATGAAGTAGGTATTACTATTATCCCCATTTTATAGATAAGGAGTCCAAAGCCCAGGGCCAATCCACCTCCAGCTTCCTACTCCATTTTCTTCACTTCTGCTTAAATGCTGTCCTTGGGGACATGTGAAAGCAGTAAATTTGACAGAGTTCATTTCTAATTTATTTCAGACTACAGTCTTTATTGTGTTTGCCTCTACCCCAGCCTATATTTTGTTTAACGCAGGAAAGGTGAATCGGTTTAACATGTATCTATAATGATAAAATCATCACTAATAAAAATATTAAGAGCTACCATTTATTGCATACTTCCTATGCATGCAATTTGCACATATAATTGCTAACACTTGTACGTGTTAGACACACTCAAAGAGGTAATTTTGAAAAAAGCTGACCTCTATACTAGTCTTCTGAACAACATGGTCCATATGAAACGTACCCTTTGGCACCCAAGACACAGGGCAGTGCCTTCTGAAATTGCTGACTTATGCGTACACACCCTCTCTCCAGCTTGATCCTTAGTTCCGAGAAGGTAGGACCATGTCTTAATTGTCTGTGCAGGCCTTTAAGTTCAGTGTAGTAATGTAGCTGTAGCAGAACTACATTACGTTTAGTGTTTGATAGGAATCCAAACCTATACTCATCAGGAAGGAAAAGAACTCCTACTGAGTACCCTCCATCAGCCAAGGGAGGTCAAGAAATGTTGACATATATTACCATATTTATCATCAAGAACTCACCTGACTTCTACCGAAGAGGAAACTGAGGCTCAGCAAAATTAACTACTCAAAGTGTTACACAGTGGTGAAGGGATTTCAATCTAGGTCTGTCTTAAGTGTCAGAGATGCTGGAGAACATAGTAGTTGAATTCACACTTCAAAAAGTGTGCAGATGATGTGTGTGGCTGTAGAAAGTTGTGGTGTTATGTGCACTCCTGAGCTCTTCAAAATGCACGTGTGTGACAGATTGTTTACAATGTCCCACCCTCTCTGCCCCCCATTTTCTCTGAAAAAATATATTACTGTGGTTAAAGTATATAATTAACATACACTAATGAGACTCTACTAGGAACAATAGTGTCAGAGAGGTACAACCTTGTATACACAGTAATGAGATGTGTTTTTATTAAGGGGAAAAAACAGAGCAGTTATATCCTAAAGTAAAATGACTGGTTGTTCTGGAATAAGAAGGAGGGCAGTACAGGACAAAACCTGAGTGGATAAATTTGTAGAAGTTTGTGGAAAGGGAATTTGATTTGCCTTGGATTATTACAGTATGTACAAATAATGAGTCTGAAAAGAAGCAATTGTGTGCTAAAATTTTGCAACAGCTGTCTTAGTTTCGATTAGTTTACTCATATTATTTTCAAAAAGAGGGCCCCTAGCAAAATCACAAATATTTGTGAGGTGCTAGAAATAATTAGGTTTATTTGATATATTATTATTGATCAATTATATGGGAATAATGGTCAAATCAGAATGGATACTCAACCTTCTCTAGGTTAAATTTATATAAGTAAAATCTTATTATTTATATAGATATTTCATAACTTATATGATGTATGAGAAGTTCCACACATTTCTCAATGCCTTTTCAGTCCATGATCTGATTCTATTTATTAGCATCTGGCGGTAATTTGCCTAATGACAAAGTATAGTGTTACTAGTCATGATCTCAGTTATGATTTGAACCATTACCTGGGCTGCAACTTTACTTCTTTAATTTGAATCTAGCATCTTCCAGACTATTGGTTTTCAACTGGGAATGTACATTAGACTTTCCTATGGAGTTTTGTTAAAATACAGTTGTTTAGGACTTGCTGCAGATTTATTGGATCTCTTTAGCTCATATTCTTGGTATATTCTTGGTATATTATATAAATTATATGTCAGGATTTTTATACGTTATATCTTAAGATTTTTCCTTCTGTGAAAATTATGTTCATCCATTTTTATAAATTGATGTAATGTCCACCGTCTTCTTTGAAATTAGCCTTATTACGTTTTTAGACATGGTCTAGATTGTTTTTTGTTTGGATTGGCTTCTTCTTGTTTTGCATACCAAAGGAACAACCAAATTTCCTTTGGTTGCATTATTCTTGTCATGAATTCTCATCAGATTGTTCACTTTTGAAAATTGTAAGTTAACCAGCACTTCTTAAGTTTCTGCCACCTACATATAGTTTTTGTTTTTCTCTGATGCTTTCTAAAGGTTCAGCAATCAGCTGTAGGCCCAGGTTTTTACCTTTTAAACAAGAACTGTCTCAGGACAGCACTGTGCTGAGTACTTACTCTTGAATACAGGCTTCCGATGGTACTACTTAGATAACTTTAAGAACATGCCAGTGGACTGAGTCAGGAGTTCCAGAACTCTGTAGTCAAGAAGCATACTAAAGCAGGGGTTTTAAGATTACTAGCCCCAGATCCAGTGGAACAGAATTAATCATATAGGACTGAATGAGCTATTAAGAGATGACTGTCATTTATATTTGGAATACTGTTGATGTTGTTATAGTGTTCTCTTTCCTGGATATGTAAGTAAGACCTTTCTCTTTCTTCTTAGTCTATCTGTAGCCAGTAATAATTTAATAGACTCTGCTTTTATAAACTGAAATGAAACATTTATACATATCTTATTCTCTCTACCTGACTCCTCAGAATTCAGAGACTGTTATTGAGCCTTCTTGCTTTTCATGGCAATACAAATGTGTGCGTAAGTTTGATAAGAATCTGTCCTCTTTTTTACTAGTACATAATTAGAAAAATTGATTATGCAACCAAGGCTTTACCTGGAATGTTGTACTTGACAAGGATGCCCATTTAATTAGATATAACCAGTCCCTTTTAAGGAACTAAGTTTCCCTGTATGGAGCCAATACTAACAAAACCCTCCCAAGAAAACTGGCTTACTGGGTTCCCTGCCCTCCCTGGTTAGCCCAGGAACCTTAGGATATTTGGGGGAACTTGAAAAGAGAGGAATTTCCCCAAATTTATAGGCATAGCAGGTAAAACCTGGTGGAGACAGTTTCTTGTCTCGGCTTCCTAATCTCAGCACAATAAATAATTAAAGGCTTTTAAAAGTCTAATCTAGGATTCCTTATGAAAACTTCCTGCAAACTTAACAAGGCCTATTCGGTGAATTAACACTCTTGCTGTATCTATGTAATCAGATCAGATCTATGATACCAGCTTTATTTTGTGATCAAGAATAAACTTTCTTGGAGACTTTTTTTTTTTTTCTTAATCAAAACGGGAGACTGTAGGAAAAAAAAATCAGTGTTTCAGTGGAAACCCTATGCATTATCTAGAGGATACCTCTCCAGGTTATCTGATTGTTGCCTTTCACTTATCTGATTGTAGCCTTTCATTGACCTTGAGTTATTTTACGATTCTTTGAAATGGTAGGTAACCGATAAGTCATGCAAAACACGTCTATAAATGATAGTTTCGGTAGTCTTCCTTCCCAACCTGTGGGAAAACCATTGTGACCTCAATATTTCTTATCTATAAATGGGTATGTTCTTTGGATTCTCTCTCTTTCTTCTTCTAATTGTGGTAAAATATAAATAACATAAAATTTACCATTTTAATCATTTTTAAGTTACAGTTCAATGGTATTAAGTATATTCACACTGTTGTGCAACCATCACCACCATCCATCTCCAGAACTTTTTTTATCTTCCCAAACTGAAACTGTCCCCATTAGATACTATTTCTCTCTCCCCTTCTCTGGATTCTCTTTTGAACCAATTATAACAGCTTCTGACGCCTTCATTATGAGTAAATTAAATCTTTAACACATATTCATTTTTATATTCTTACGAGAGTCATGATTTTAATCTTTTTCTGAAAAATACCTTTTAACAGTTCCAGACTCAGAAAGGACCAGGTAAGTAATCTAAATGAGTGAAGAAGGTAGGAAGTAATGAGGACTGTCACCAATTGGAAAGTGCCTAGGGTGACCAACTGTCCTGATTTGCCCAGGACTGAGAGGGTTGGTGATGAAAAACTTTCTGTTTTAAAACCAGGACAAGTTGGTCATCTTTAAACATCCATCCTATCTAAAGGGGACTCCTCAACTCCTATTAATTTAATTTGGAAATTTAGGTCTGGTATCACCACATCATCTGTTTTTGGCTATTTTTGTTAAATTTTATAATTTGTAAATGATGGCAACTAAAATAATATTAAAAAACACTTTGCAGACCAAGCACACTGCTCCAAACTCCAGCCTCTGATGAGGAGTGGCTGAAACCTCTCCAACCTCCGCACACAGCCCAGCATGCGGGCTGCTGGGGCCACGCGTGGTCAGGAGGAAACATTGCTGAGGTGGCCGCCCCGCTGTGGAGCAGCTCCAGCTCTGCTCTAAGGGGATGCCCTTTCCACGTATGTCTCTCAGGGCTTGGAACCCCTCCCTCAAGGCAAGCTGGCAGGACCACTGAGTTCTGGCCTCTATGTTACCCAAGGGCTAAAGAACAGAAGGGACGTTCAACGACTCTAGTTGCTATCTTTTCATTCCATCCCTCCCAGGCCCAGGTCCCCCAGATGCTCAGTGATGTGAAAGCGAAGCGCTCTCGAGTTACCCCGGCTGTGGGCGTGTTTGGAGGGAGGATGGCAAATGAGACTCTCGCAGGCAGCCTAACTTCACCAGCGGCACAGAGCCGGGAGATGCGGATTTAGGAGGGCGTGTGTGTTATCAACCTCCCAGGTTGTCGCTGCCGAGGCCCCCCGGGCGGCACGGAGCCGCTGCGGGCCGGCGCGCCTCCCTCCCCGAGCCCGGCTCACCAACTGTCCCTGGAGAAGGCGCGGAGGAACCAGACTCCCGGAGCCAAGCGAGACCGCATCTTGCCCGACCGGCGCCCGAAGCTGAGTGGACGGAGGAGGGCGTGCGGAGCCGGATGCGTGTCCCTGGCGGGCTGTCGGCGGGATTTAAATACCCCGCCGGCCGGCCCGCCCCGGCCCCGGGCCTGAAGACGGGAGCCCCCGCCCCTTTGCACCTGACCGCCCTCGGGGTCGGGCCGAGCGCAAACCCACTGGCCATCCCCCGGCGGCGGTCGCCAGTTACTTGAGTATTCTCGTGCTTTGCCTCCTGGCCCTGAGTTTCTGGGGACTCCTGCACTGTCCGACTCACTACCCACCGCCGGGAAAGCGAGGAACAGAGGAACCGAAAGCAGCAACCCCAGACCTTGTCAGCTCTATGTGAAGTCCCCGCCTGCCGGCAGCTGTCGCCGCGAAGAGGCGCTGGCACAGACCGGGAAACTAGGGCACGCTGGAGGGCTAGAACTGACACCCAGTGGTACCCCCGTCACACGGGGCACCCCTGGGAGCTCAGAAGGTTTTTCAGGGAGGACAGGAAGCGGGACAGGAAGCCCCAAACACACCTCCCAGGCTCCAGCTGGGGCTTCCTGCCCCACTCAGATTCCAGACTCATACCCTACCACTCCCCCTCCACAGACACTGGCTTTCCCACCCACTCCCCGCAGTGACAGTGTCGCTATCACTCTTGCTCTCCCTTCTGGGGGCAAGCAGCCAGGTGGCAGTGAAGGGCCAGTCTGAGGCTACCAGGAAGGGACTTCTGTGCTCTTGAAAGTGACTGCCTCTAGCCTGAAGATTTCTGGGTATATTTCCACCTATAAAAAGAAGATATTATGAGAGCATGTATATGAACCCAAGGGTGAACTACAGAGGGATGGAAAGTGCAGTATTCACTTGGAGGATAAAGTTTTTATTAGAGCATAAAATAGGAATGTGGCTGTGCAAATGGGTTTCAGCCCTAACCCCGCCCTACTCCTAACTCCTAGGAGTGCCCAGGCCCTAAGAGCAAGGTCAAGGAAGTGGAGCAACAGCTCCACCAAACAGGAGTACCCAGAATAATAGCTCTGACTGGTACCAGCCCTGGAATCAAGCAGAAAGAGGGTAAGCAGAGTTGTAAAACCCTCTGTTAATGCCAAGCAATCAGGGGCATGGGTCCAGTGGCAGAAATGAAGATAGCAACAAGTCAAGGACAGGAGGTAAAGGAATAGAGAAGAAAGAAGAAAGGTGATAAAAAGGAGGAACGAAAGCCAGATGATGTAAAGTACGGAGAGCTGAAACACCAAAGGAGGAGTGTGGACAACAGCAGCTCACTTAGTCAAATCCTTAATTATATCACATACTGTGCCTAGGTGTACATTAACTTAATTTGGGGGGAGAGGGGAAGGAGCAGCTGGCCAGTACAGGGAATGTGCATTAATTTAATTCTTACAAGTCAGTTAGGTGGGCGTGATCCATGTGGGTAGGGTGACTTTATGTCCTGGTTTGCCTGGGACAATCCCAGGAGACATCTGCTGTCCCAGGATGTACGATGGACCAGTTTTGAGGTCAGTAACCACAGGTACCCCAGGTTAAGGGATAGAAAATAAACTAGAAGAATAACTAAAGGAATGAGCTGATATCCCCAGGAAGACAGCTACTTGTTTCTAGAGGACTAAAGGGCAGGATAAAATTGGAATATGAACGAGCCAAGGAAGCAGCTGGAGTTAACTTGATGCTACACGGGAGGAGTAGGTGGACATCACCAGAGCTTCAGAGGTGCTATCCAGACTTCAGCAGTGGGAAATATCTGTCTTTCCATTTCAGATAGAGAGAAGCCAAGGAATATGGCTCACTATTGGTCATTTTTCATGCCCCTCTGGAGAAGCTGCATTTGTGCCTCTCAGGAGACCATGCTTGCCTGGAGCTGGAACTCTCAAAGAGGCATTAAGAATATGCCCTCATGGTAGTATGGCTGTTATTCATGGTGTGCCAACAAGTAGCTGGGAGCAGAGCAAGTCCTGAAATAGTCTTTGCCTTGTCCCATTACTTCCTGTGAATTCCAGCCACGTGTCCCAGTTCAGAGGCCAGGATGGTACCAATGTTGGAACCCTTCCTCACTTGCTCCTGCAGGTAAGCTGGATGATCTCTTTGCTTCCTGCTGCTTGGGAGAGTGAGAAAGAGGGATATTATGGCTCAGGTACTCCTTTCACTCACCCACACAACCTCTCCGCTCTTGACTCACCTTCCTGTTGTTATTTGGCACTCCTCCACACACCACCTTCTCACACACTGCAGCATGGGGGCAGTATCTGAAGGAGATAGGGAGGGAAGGGAGGAGCAACTGAATCAGACACTAAGGAAAAGATCCTCAGTTCTTATAGCCCTATAATTTGTCAAAATTGCTTACGATGGTTTAGTATCAGACACTTGTGAGAAAGGAGCTAGCAGTTAATGACCTTTTTACCCATTAAATACCAGTGCCTACCGCTAGCAAGTTTCACTGACCACCCACAGGACATTTTTGGTAGCCATTTAGCTGTTTAGGCCCTTTTAGATATAGCAATAAATGTCTTCTCTGGTTTTTTCAAAGAAACAAAAGAACTTGGATGTTTGAGGATGTCTGTGAGAACAAATGCCATGAGAATAAGCCACTAGGCAACAGAACCCCAAAATTTCATCACATACACAAACATTCTTTGAACACATTCCCCTCCTCCCACTTCTATCTTACTAAATAGAAAATAGCATAATTTTTTGTAACAGATTCAAGACCCAGACCCTTGATTGAGGAGATAGGAGTTGGGATATTACGAGAAATTATGATTATAAAGATTCAATTTCATATTAGGCCTTTGAATTGAGAGACAGAACAGTGTAATGAAAACAACATGGGCTTGGAGTCAGAGCTAAGTCTGGCTCAGATACTGACTACTTCTCTGAACCTCAGCCCCTTGTCTGTGAAATGTGGATAATAATGCCTGCCTTGCAGGATGGCTGTAAGAATAAAAAATTATGCATATAAAAAGTGTAACAAGGCTTAGCCATATTAAGCTGGCTTGGGAAGTGGAGCAATTATGTGTGCATGAGCTTATTAGGTATAAGAACGAGATACTGACTACCACCGAGAGAAGTCAGTGCCATAATAAATGAAGACTGAATATAGAGGTAAAAGGATCAAAGCTCTTACAAAGAGTCAATGGGTATAACAGAATAGGTTTGACCTGAAAAATCCTAAATATCATGCATGTGCGTGTGTGTGTGTGTAAG